ATCCATGGATTCTGTCAGTGTTTGATCTGTTCACCATCAACATTGCGTGCAGCAGCAACCACAGCCTCCCAGACACTGTTCAGAGAGGTGTCCTGTTTTCCCTCCTTGTAAATCTCACATTTGATGATGGACCACAGGTTCTCAATGGGGTTCAGATCAGGTGAACAAGGAGGCCATGTCATTCGATTTTCTTCTTTTATACCCTTTCTTGCCAGCCATGCTGTGGAGTACTTGGACGCGTGTAATGGAGCATTGTCCTGCATGAAAATCATGTTTTTCTTGAAGGATGCAGACTTCTTCCTGTACCACTGCTTGAAGAAGGTGTCTTCCAGGAACTGGCAGTAGGACTGGGAGTTGAGCTTGACTCCATCCTTAACCCGAAAAGGCCCCACAAGCTCATCTTTAGTGATGTCGCGAACCCGAAATTTTCGGTTCGCGAACGGCGAACGCGAACTTCCGCAAATGTTCGCGAACCGGCGAACCGCCCGAAACGCCATTGACTTCAATGGGGAGGCGAATTTTAAAACACACAGGGACTCTTTCTGGCCACAATAGGGATGGAAAAGTTGTTTCAAAGGGACTAACACCTGGACTGTGGCATGCCGGAGGGGGATCCATGGCAAAACTCCCATGGAAAATTACACAGTTGATACAGAGTCTGGTTTTAATCCATAAAGGGCAGAAATCACCTAACATTCCTAAATCACAATCAATATGGATTGACACCTGACATATGACATATTGACACCTTGACATATGGATTGACACCTGTCCTCAGAGCCCCTGATGCACACGGACACAGAGCAGAATAGAGACTGGTCCCCTACATAGGGTCACTTGGCAGATATGGATTGACACCTGTCCTAAGGATCCCTGATACACACTGACACAGAGCAGAATAGGGACTGTTCCCCCTACATCGGGTCACTTGGCAGATATGGATTGACACCTGTCCTAAGGTTCCCTGGTACACACAGACACAGCAGAATAGGGACTGGTCCCCCTACATCGGGTCACTTGGCAGATATGGATTGACACCTTGTTACAAACTGCTATTTGTAACGGGCCCTTTAAATGGCAAATTGCCCTGCTTCCCTGGGTTGTGGAGAAGCCTCTTTGCCAGCCTCCTCCCGCATGACTATGGCCCCTGGGAGATTGTGAAAATGTATGCACTTTTATTTGGTGTGTATGGCCCTTTAAGACTGTCGGTGGGCATATTGGGGCTTATGGACTCTTTATGTGACTGGTGCTGGCCCTTTAAACACCTTTTTTGGGACATCAGGAAGATTGGGACACTGCCCCTTTAAGGCCGTGTCCCCAGACTTGTTGGGGACACGGCCCCTTTAAGACGGTGTCCCCTGTGTCCCCAGACCTGGTGCAAACCCTTTGTGCCTGCCTTGCTATTTCCCACTTGGTTCAGTAATGGGAAATTATTTCAGCTGCAGAGACTAAGTCCCATTCGGCGATGGGACTTAGTCTTTTTTTCAGCCTGAAATAGACCGACCTCACAGCCCAAATCTATGGAACTGTTTTGGGCAGGAAAATGTGCTTGCGGTCGGTCATAAAGGGACCTCCAGCTAACTTTTTAACCCCTGGATGGATTTGGCTGATTTTTGGTTATGTTTATGTTTTAAGTGTGCTGATTCCAAATATGTAATTATGAAGATGGGATGTGTAGTTTTAAAGTTACAGGGTATGGCTAAAAACTGTATTTTTACTGCCTGTGTTTAATTATGTTAATCTCTTCCCAAACGTCATTTCGTTCAAAGTGGAGAGAATGTTAAAAAAATATATTTTTGTTCGGAGTGTGAGAAATGCTTTTCAGACGCTTCTAATCTTAAGCATCATTTGAGGAGCCATACAGGAGAGAAACCTTATTTGTGGTGTGTTTAGTATTGTTCTGATCAGTTTAATACCTTCCGCGTCTCCTATCAGTGGACGTGTATATGGCAGCCATTTTAGGAACCATACACCTGGGACCCAAGCAAGGTCACCTCGTTCAACAGGCTTGCAGCGTATCCTCCAGGAAGAAGAGCCTGAACCCTTACCGGCTGCACGTGTCTTACCTGTACATGGAAAGCTGCTGTGGTTCCTTGATGAGCCAGCTGCCCGTGAGTTAACATGTCCCGTGGAGAAGAATTTGGTCCCAAAGCCTCACCAAAAGGAGGGTGTGTTTAGTATTGTTCTGATCAGTTTAATACCTTCCGTCTCCTATCAGTGGACGCGGTACACGGCATGGATTTTTGTAACAGGGAGATGGAAGAAGAGGCTTGGTCGGTCCTCTTACTGCAAATTTGGGGCACTGCGCGGTCAAGCTAATGTGACACCAGATAGGAGTGGTGTGTTTAGTATTGTTCTGATCAGTTTAATACCTTCCGCTTCTCCTATCAGTGG